ATATTCTCAAGGTTCATTCATTCATGTTGTAACATAACAGGATACTAAATCATATGTTAGTTCTATTTTGAATTTTTCATATGTTTCTTGGCCATTTGTATATGAAAAGATTATCAGCATCATTAATCACAATGAAATGCAGATTAGAAGTACAATGAGATATTGTCACTTTATGCCACTGGATATGTACATATGAAGAAAGATGACTTGAAAGTAGAAGAGGGACTATTAGGGACAGGGAAGGGGGCTGGGGAAGAAGAGAAAGGGGAGGAAGAAAAGGGTAAAGGAAGGTTATGGACATGATCAAAGCATGATATATGCATGTATGGAAATATCAGTGTATCCCATTAATTTATACAATCAATATGTGTTAATTATAAATTGAAAATAAAAAAACTTAGGCTTTTGAGTTAGATAAAAAATGAGACTCTTGGAGATAGCATATAACTAGATCTTTGTTCTTTGAATCCATTTAATCAATCTATACATGTTTTAATTGGGAAATTTAATCAATATACATTTAAAGTAATTATTGATAGGGAAGGACTTACTATTGACATTTGTTACTTGTTTTGTGTGTGTCAGAGCTTTTTGTCCCTCCTTTCTTTTCTTATTGCTTTCCTTTATGTTTATGTTTTATTGATTTTTTTTGTATTGCTAGTCTTTTGTTCTTTTCTAATTTTCTTTTGTGTGTATTCTAAAGAGATTTTCTTAGTGGTTACCATTGCAATCACATAAAACATCTTTAAGCTATGACATTCTATTTTAAACTGATAGCAACTTAACTTTTTACATAGAAAGTATACTCCTTTACAGCTCTACCCATTCCCACTTTATGTTATCAATGCCACAAATTGCATCTTTGCATATTGTATACTCATTAACATAACTTTATACTTTTTTTTTGTTTTGGCTGTAAATCGTATGCACCCAAAGTGTAGAAGTATGGGTTACTATATTTTTTTCTTATATTGTCCTTTACCAGAGAATATTTTATTTTTTATAGCTTCATATTGCTGTCTACTATCCTTTCATTTCAACTTGGACTTCCTTTTGTATTT